TCGATGGTGGCATATGGGAAGTTGGCGGGGTTACCAAGAGAGCACTTGGTGATGGCTTGGAAGAGCGTCGACTTGCCGACGTTCGCTAGGCCAACCTGGCAATCACTGTTAATGTGAGAACGCGACAAGACCAGCTAGGGAGGGCTCTCACTCACGATACCAGTCTTCAGGTTGTTTCCCGGCCTGCCGAGCGGGAGCTTCTCCTCCTTGACTTGCTTCTTGGGAGGCATCTTTTTCTTCTTGGGCGCGGACGCGTAGGTGCGAGCTGCAGTGAAGGAAAGGAAAAATTTGGTGGGGGAAGATGAAGAGTGCAAAGAGGCTGGGAAAAAGCAGGCAGTGCTTGCTGCCGGGTTGTAAAAAGTGGGTATCAGAGAAGAGAAAGAAAAGGTGAGCGGCCTGGTGGGGGGCGTGATGAAATAGAGGGGTGGGAGAGCTACCTAGCAGCCGCTCTCCTGCGTTTCCTGGGTTAATTGACGGTGCAGCGAGTCCAATCGAATTTTCTTAAGTTTATGTGGCTAGGGCGGCGTCCGTGCAGCGCTTGCTCGAAGCAGCAAGCGCCGAAGCCGCGTCTCCAGCTGTGCTCGAGCGCCAAACCGGCGGTCATGGCTACAACGACCTCCATCTCCATCTGCTCCCCCACACCTGTCCCTCCGCATATTACTCCCAGGGCTGGCCCCATTCACTGACCTCCGCCCTGCCGTCATTGTACCACTACCTCGTACCACTCATCGTCCCTTAACAGCGTCCATGATACCCCACCCTTCTTATTCGGTACCGACGTAGAGACCTACCCCAATACCAATACATACCACACTCGATTGTACATACATCACTACAGCCATAGACAATGTCATCCTCTATCCGTCCCAAACCGTCGCGCAAAAGTTCCAGCCAACATAGGACCACGCTGTCGCTGCAGAGAACCGAAGTCTCCATACACGTATATGACCTGTTACCGCCCGGCAAGGTCGCAACCGTACTCTGGGCAATCGGCAGCTCGCTCCTTCACACAGGTGTTGTTATTGGCGACAGGGAATATGCATACGGCGGACATGACCGGCGGGACTTGACAGGCGTGTACTGGACGAAGCCAGGGCAAGAACCACCGGGTGGCACGTTCAAGCAGGCAATCCTACATGGCTTCTCTTTCCGGCCTGAAGAAGAACTAGAGGCTATCATACAAGAGGTATGCAACGACACGTATATTCGAGAAACTAGCTAATGATCACAGGCCTCACACGAGTTCCAAGGAACGTCGTATAACCTCCTCACGAAGAACTGCAACCACTTCACGTCCTACCTCTGCGAGAGGCTCACGGGTCGCCCAGCTCCGAGCTATCTGAATCGTGCCGCTAGCATCGGCGTCGCTCTACCATGCGTTGTACCACGGGAATGGATAGCGCCACCGGATTATGATACTGCTGATGGAGAGTTGCTTGACGAAGAGTTCGAAGACGAAGGAGCGTCGATGCTACGTCATGATCGAGAACGAGAACGCCATCGGACAACTGAGGAAGCAAGGGGCTGGGAAAACGCGGGCTATTCTGCTGGAAGTAGTCGTGGTGATCAAGGAAGCGCAAGAGGGCCTATTAGGTATGAGGCTGGAAATCTTGCACCCAGGCTTGTCAACATCGCGGAAACGGATTCTAGTGGTCGCACTATGCCACCCGCTGAAAGGGCACCACTGCCGAAAAATCTGACATGACTCTTGAATTGGTCTGATATGCCCTGGCCACCATACACTGCTCTTGTGATACATGCCTCTGAGTGCTGAAGGCCGCTACCCATGACGCCGGTGAACCCCACTATCATCGTACACTTCGTCTGCTTTTCGCTCCTACATGCTCGACAAGCAGTCTCTAACCCAATCTCCTCGGCTTCTTGCTCCTTGTACCACCAAACTTCAATCTCGTCGAGTCGGCCAGCTTCACAATCAGCGGCCGTATCCTCTTTCCCTCAGCACCCAATATCGCCTTTGTGACTGCCTCCCTGCCTGCGCCAAACCCTCTGTATATCAACTCCAACTTCTGAATCTGCGGCAGCAAGCCCTTGTCCTGGATTCGGTTCATTAGGAAGGCGGCCAATTGATAGGCTGCATCGTACGTTCCGCGCCCCGCTTTCCTGAAGCCGATGTTTCCGCAAGATACTGAGATCAGTGGGTTTCGGTTTGGCTGTGTCAGACACAAGTGTGTGTTGTGCTTGGTGGCGTAAACGTGGAGTTTGTGTTTGTCGTCTTCGTCCCATTCGCGCGACGCAAGGTTCTTGAAAGAAGGATCGTTTGGGTTTTGGCCGGGTATCATATTGTATGGATTGGGGGCCGCGCCACTGAAGTTCTCATCTACATTGCTGAGCAGCTGGTCGAGACTCTTCTCAGGCCTCTTGCGGAAGGACGGAGGAGTTGCAGCAAGGACTCGTGTGCTGTGCGAAAACGGTCGCAGGGGTTGCGTGTGCCGACATGATGAGCGAATTGAGCATGTGAGGGATCGAAACGTCTGTAGAGTTGTGTTGCTGGCCATGTTGAAGGCGGTAGATGCCCCGATTGAGGTTCGGGGATGCAGCGATTTGCTAGAAAGTCGCAGAAGGTTGCGAGTCTGGCTTGGCATTCGGAAAAAGATGGCGATGCTTCTCACCCACCTTCGCCGCGCCCACCTTCCAACGCTCACTGCTTGGGCCGGTCCTACTTCAATTTAATACCCAGATCCAATTGCGTCTAAGTCCAGAGCATGAGGCCCCAAACAGCAAGCACATTTGTCGCCACTGCGCGATGGAGCATACAACCCGCCGCTGCTACGCCTGCAAGCGCATACGGAAGAGCTGCAGCGTATAGACGGATATCAACACTACCAAGAACATCGCAAGTCTCCTCCACACGCACGTCACTACCTTCCACATCCACACCCTCCTCCCAACGCTTCCTCCGCAGCGAATTCCTGCCCCAAGATGTCCTCTTCCGCACGTCATCCGCATACGCCCGCCACTTCTCTTCTCGGCCCGCCCTTTACGAGCAAGCGCAAAAGCAAAAAGACGTAAAGGACCAAGAGCCCGATCCCACCAAATCAACCACCTCTGAGGGTAGCACCTCAGAGCAGGCTGCAGGCGACCAGGCAAAGAAAGAGGGCGAGGAAGCGAAAGAGAAGAAGGACGGAGAGGAAGAAGCTGGTGAACAGAAGGAGGGCGAAGAGGGTCAGAAGAAAGAGAAGAAGGATGCGCCCCCACCTCCACCCCACGGCGACAAGACACCATGGCAGGTCTTCACCGAGACCTTGAAGCAAGAGTTCCAGGCCTCGAAAGACTGGAACGAGGGTACAAAGCAGTTGGGTGGTGCGCTGCACGACTTCCAGCAGAACCCAAACGTCCAGAAGGCTGGCCAGATCTCTGAAGCTGCCAAGACAAAGACCACAGAGGCATTGAAGGCGACGGCATCAGCTGTTGGTCACGGTGCGGCGTGGACATGGGACACTATGCCCGTCAAGGGCGTTCGTGCTGCTGCGAGGGTCACTGGTACCGGACTTGAATACGCAACTCGGCCAGTCCGACAGACCAAGGCCTTCCAAGCTGTGAAGGAAACAATCGACGATGGCAGCTCGTCAAGATACGGCGGTTGGGTCGAGAAGGAAGAGCGCAGGAAGAGGCGAGAGCTGCGCGAACTCAACGAACTCCAGCGGACTGGCGGTAAACCCCTGGGCCCAATGGAGGAGGACCCAAAGTAAGGCATCTCTGAAAATATGAGGACCTTTGACTAACAAGTAGCAGTGCTGGCACAAACGTTACCCTTCACAAAGACGCCAAGTACAAGGAAGTCTGGAGAGAATGGAAGGACAACTCCAAGCTTGCCCAAGGCTTCTTCAACATGAAGACCGTCTACAGGGAGTCCGACAACGCCATCATTGAGACCGCTCGCAGTATCTCCGACCGCATCACCGGCTTCTTCGCCGAAAACGAGACGGCCATGGTCATCAAGAGGTTCAGAGAGATGGACCCCAACTTCCAGATGGAGCCCTTCCTGACCGAGATGCGCGAATACATCCTCCCAGAAGTCCTGGACGCATACGTCAAGGGCGACATTGCTGTCCTGAAGGAGTGGCTATCAGCAGCGCAATACTCAGTATACGCAGCGCTGATGCAACAATACCAGGCCGCCGGTCTGAAGTCTGACGGAAAGATTGTCGACATCCGTGGTGTCGATGTCCTGAACGCGAAACTGCTGGAGCCAGGAGAGATCCCAGTCTTCATCCTTACCTGCAGAACACAAGAAGTGCACGTCTACCGCAACGCCAAGTCCGGTGAGCTGGCCTCCGGTATGGATGACAAGGTCCAGCAAGTCACATATGCCATCGGTGTCACCAGGATACCAGAAGACGTTAACAACCCCGAGACACGAGGATGGAGATTGATCGAACTGCAGAAGAGTGCCAGGGATTACTACTGAGCGAGTCGTCACTAATCTCCTTTTCTTTCCCTCCGCGTTCCACCCTGTACGATTACACTACCTTCTCACCGCACCTTAATGTTGGTGGTCATGTTCTTGCTGCATCTTTGGCGTCCAAAAAGACAGTTGTTGCTCTGTTTTTGTAGTCCTTGGCTGGCCTCTATATGGGGTTATTATGTTTCGTCACCTGGGTCATGGAAGTGGATAGACGGACGCCGTAGATGAGTATGGCGTTCTACATGACGCACTTCTCTACTCTGTATGTATAGTATGATGACTTGATGGATTGGTGGAGTGGAAATACCACGTGTAAAGCAAGTGGAACAAGTTTCCAAGGACAGAATTGGGATAATCAAATCTCAAGTCACACATGATACATCGTCTCGAGCTATTTTCATCGTGATGTACAGTTCCTGATGTAGACTGGGAGGAGTTGCGAGTCGACAGCATACATAGGCGGGCATCGACGACAACCCGTTCAACGTAAAGGGGCACCTACGCCATTAGCTAATTCACTATCATCGGCCGAAGTACGTACCAAGAGATGCAAATACACTCCATGACAAAACCCATGAATAGTCCCCATCTTGGCATCCATTGTCCCAAATTTCCCTCGCCCTTGCAGCCAACAACATCCCACCCTCTGAACCTCGGCACTTCCTATTCCGCAGCGTCCGAGCTCAGGGACCGAACGCGCGCATGCGCGGAACCTCCGACTGTACTACGACTGGAGCTACCAACGTGCTCACCGACTTCCGTCCAGCCTAGCCAGAAAAAAAGTCTCTGCCGCGAGATTCTAGGCGCTGACTACGTAAGTATGATATCCGCAAGGTCTGCCTTATCTGGGCATGTGGGTCGCAGCAGAGTGTTAGGTTTCGGGGCATACAGAGCATTGGCCCCGCTGCGCGAAGTCCGCCCGGGTTGTATAAAAGGACAGAGAGGGCCGGCTGGGGGTGGGTTGGAAGATAGGATACGGTTTGTTAGGTGGACGAGTAGTGTTTGTAAGTTTGTTCCAATTCCCGTCTATATTGACTTCCATGTCCTATCGCTATGGAAGACTCGAGAAAGAAGAATTTAGTAAACTAACACTTCGATAGCAGCAGAACAATCGCAAACCGCACAACCCACATCACCACCACCGCCACCACCCAATTCCTCCTCCCAAAAACCCAAACGACCAATCTACATCCGCCTCCCCATCGCCCTCGCTCTCACCCTCCTCACACTCACCAGCGGCTTCGTAATCGCCGGTTTCCCCGCCATGGCCTCCCTCCAAGACCTCGCGAACCCGCCCACCGACGCCGAAACGCTCGAACTCTTCACCCCCTCCACAGAAGCCATTGCCGAGATAGAACGAAGCATATTCGAGCATCCCCTCACAAAGTCGTTATTGGCGGACCCCAAATACATTGCCTCAAGGCCGCACCTCAAGATACCAGAGGGACTTCGGGCACAGAACCTGACAGGAGGCACACTCCTCGGCCCCGACAAAATCGCCGTTCCACCCATCCAATTCAGCACAGCCGACGGCTCTGAATTCGTATCACTGCAATATCTGGGAGAAGCGCTGTGCGGCCACCCCGGTATCGTCCACGGCGGCCTGCTAGCCACACTCCTCGACGAAGGACTAGCACGATGCTGCTTCCCCGCGCTGCCGAATAAAGTGGGTGTGACGGCGAGTTTGAAGATCGATTACAAGGCGCCGTGTATGGCGGGGCAGATTGTTGTGTTAAGGGCTGAGACAACGAAGGTTGAGGGCAGGAAGGCGTGGGTTAAGGGACGGTTGATGACGCTGGGGAGTGAGGAGAAGGAGGGTGTTGTGCTTACGGAGGCGGAGGCGCTGTTTATTGAGCCGAGACAGGCGGCGCAGATGAAGAGGGTTGTTAATTAGAGGGGGTGGTCTTGGTGGCGTTATGTGAACTGGGAAGGTTGGTGGGTTGTGGAGCGATAGACTTTTAGACTTTGGACGTGGGAAGGTGTTCGTGGAGAAGGGCGTGTGAGATCGCATCGTTGAGATATCTCTCGTCTCTCGGGCGATATCTCAACGATGCGATCTCACACGCTCTTCTCTACAAATACCTGTTTTTGATGCTTGGTCAAGATGTAATGATTAGGACATGGCAGCCAGTTTGCGTCTAGTGTACATGTCCATGTGAAGGTCCAAGGCGAACGGTGTTGGATGGGCTTACCATGCAAGCTGGCTGTACACTTGGCCACTGGAACCAGACACCTCACTTAGAATAGAGTTTAAGCATCAACACATTTCCTTCACAAACGCAAACATCACAAGCAGACGAAATGATTTGGTACGACACTCGCTTCTTTCATTAAAATATTAACGTCCGATCCAATCCACCATTTCAGCCACAACGTCAACAATAGACGTTTCCCTCGCACCAGCGCCCCAGCACATCCAGAGTCAAGCCAGTCCAACTTCCATCCCCACTCCCTCCCAACTTCCCCCACTCGACAAGCGAGCTACATACAACAATCAGAGAACAAGACAGCGAGGAGATCTTTCCAACCATCTTGCACGACGACGCCATTCCAAAAAAAAAAGCAGAAACATATCCAGACCCGTAGATCTGAGACAACAACAACAATGACGATCATCAACAAGATACTGCGATTTCCAAAGATACATTTGGACACAGACCAAGTTGAAAAGTATGTGGGAAAAAAAGAGATATGGGGAAACATGGTTTGGTGGGAAAAGAAAAGAGTGTATGAGAAAAGAAAGTGGTGGGTTTGGAGTGTGGGGTAAGAGGTGGCGTTCTATTTACAACTGAGACTCCTTCGTTTCGAGAGGAGAGAGTGGAGGGAGGTAGGTAGGTAGTGGTGGTCGAGGTAAGGTGTTTGTGGGAGGTATGATGGGTTGACGCGCTGTGAGGAGGTTGGCGTCGGGTATCTGTAGCGACTGAATGCCAAAAGCTGACATCGGCTTTTCGCGGCTAGCGTTTGGTGAACAAGGGGGATTTGGAAAGAGACGCCCGGCGCTGATGAATGCTATGCTCGAGAAAGAAAGATCTGCTGTACAGGGTGATGATGATGCGTTCGCTAAGTGATGCTGCTTTTCGAGAGAGAGAAGATGGAGGTGATGTGTATGGTCGAGGTAGAGACGGGTGGGAGCATGGGCTCATTATAGGCGTGACAAGGCTAAGTTCAAAGTCGAGGGCTTTTATCTGCTTTGGCCTAGGTTTAGCCATGACATGTCGGATTGCTCCTTTCCGTTGCCTTGGTTGGGACCCGGGCCGGGGAAGAGGGTGGCTGAGCTCTCGTGCCCGACTTTGGGTGGTGGGTAGAAGGAGTTGAACTTGGGGCTTGGTAGCGCCGCCTGAGCATTGCCTCCTTGTGCACCACCGGGACCACCTGGGAACACGGTTGCTGTGCTCTCGCGATCTTGTGGGAGACCGAGACGTGGTGGTACGGGGTACATCGAGCTGAACTTGCTCTTGGGCATCTCCTCTGTTGGTGCGGGTGGTGCGTTGCCTGATGGGAACATGGTGAACGTGCTGTCGCGCATGTCGGGAACGGTGGATGGGTTGTCGCCTTGGCCGGGGTAGAAGGAGGAAAAGTTGCTCTTGGGGTAGAACGAATCGGTGCCGTCGGGGTAATACGAGCTAGCGCCATCGTACTTGTTAGAGTCAATGACCATGCTACCAGTGTACTGACTGCTCGTCCGTCGGTCATCGCCCACTGGAGTCCAGCTTTCTACGGGGTGGCGTAGGTAGCCGTCGTGACTGAGAGCAGATACTGTGCTGGCATTCGAGTTGGCGCGAGCAAGCTCTGCTTGCATGGGCTGAACACCATGTGGAATGACACTGTTGGGGGTTCCAAGCGTTGGACTTCCACTGGCAACTCGGCTTAGACGCTGCCCGTCGTTGAACTTGGGGATCTCTAATGGAGCGATGTGTTGTGATGGACGCGAGCTGTACATGCGCGAGTTGGTGTATTGTGACTGGCTGGCGGTACTTGTTCGGTCTGACGCGAAGGTAGAACGGTCAGCAGGCGGTGCACTTGCGAGGTTTGTAGCTTCGTTGTTGGCGAAGTACCGACTCCAGCCTGAGCTACGTGCTCTTGGTGCGGGCTTGTTCCGACTAGAGTTCTGACGAACCATGGGCTCGACAGGCTCCGGCTTGAGGTCAAACTTGGCAAGCTCGTAGGGTTCGTTGTAACCTTCAGAGTAGCCAAGCGGACTGCTCTTCTTCACAAGTCCTGCTGTGCTAGCATCGCTCGCAACATTCTTCTTGTGGCCGTTGTTGCTACCACGTCCCTGGATGATGGCAAGCGATGTGACAGAGTCGTTGTTGTGTTTTGGCTGGTAAGTCACGACAGCTCCACCGGCCTCCTTCATGAAAGCAGCGCCGCGGTCGGCAAAGCTCATGCGATCGTTCTTCTCAATGTACCCTGGGTTCTGTTTGCTCTTGTTCTTCCTGTACTTGAGGCAGAACAGAATGAGGATCAGGATAGCAGCGATGCCAAAGATCGTACCTAGTGTAGCGCCAAGTACAGTCAACATCTTTCCCTTATTGCTAGGGGGAGCCGGTGGTGGGCCGACTGCTTCTGTGGTGCTGGCACTGGGCGTCGCTGATACGGATGCAGTCGCGGTCGGTGTCGATGATGCGCTTGAAGATGATATCGAGTTCACTAGGATCTCTTGTCCAGAGAACAGCGCTGTCGCGTTCATCCATGCGTTCTCTTTTGCGTCGAAGACAGCAATGGGCTCATCGGGGTTGCCACCACTTGCAACGGTGGTGCCATCCTCGCCTTGTGCTAACGAGTAACCGTTCCGTGTAACTGTCGGTGCGAGTGTGTCGTTGTACTTTGACCAGTCATCGATGACTACACGCTTCACCTTGTCCCCACCGGCAAGAGTTCCCGGGGCTGCGGGCGATCCGTCCTTGTTCACGAGGAGGATTCGTTCCACGGCGTTCGGTGTTACACTCATGTCGAACTTCTCCAGAGAGATCCTTCCGTCTTTATTGGAGACTATTGAGCATTTGACAGCATCGGCGTTAACGATCGGTTGTTCCAGGCTGACGCCGAGATCTTTCCATCCTGATGCTTCGCTGAACTTCCATACCGCAGTGTTGGTAGCGCCACCACCGACTAATATCGCAGAGTTTGCGTCCGAGTTCATCAGCATGGGCTTTACGGAGAGTGGCGCGCCGGACGGCGGCATACTCGATACCGAGTAGGGCTCGACAGTGGACATTAGGAAGGATTCCGACGATGGGCCGTTGTCCCCCTCTGTCTGCGACCCTGCGTAGACGAGAATCTTCTGTGAGTCTTGTAGGTAGACAGCGTCATGGTTGACGCGATTTTGTGTGTTCCAGCTCTCAGACCGTTGCCAGTCCCACTTCTTCTTGGAGAATGTGTAGTGCATCAATCCGGGATAGTTCCACGTCGAAGCGGTCTCGTTGACGCGTCCTCCAACAATGAACAGCTTAGCAGCTGCGGCGTCCCCCTTGGGCACTGCCTTCACGCATTGCGCTCCGGTAAGCGATATGTCCATAGGCAGCGCCTTCCATTCTGCCCCTTCTTCAAGCTTTAGCGATTGGAATCCAGATGGCGAATATACGTAAAGCGTGTTCTCGTAGATGATTGAGCAGTGCTCACTCAGCGGGTATACGGGCTTTGGGAGAGCCATGGTGATGTGGATCGTGTGTTAGATCCGGTAAGAATAGCGAACGTGATGTGAGTTTATCCTCGACTTGAGACGTAAAGCAATAGACTGATTATAATTCCACTCGACTTCGCATGACTAGGTGTAAGGTCCAAGGATTATTAGTTGTCCGAAGATGGAGGTTGGTCGACTGCGCGTTGGGAAGGCGAATGCGACGACTGAAGGATACGATTGGCTCGTAAAGACAATCGTAATCGTCTATAGTGCGACAAAGCGTCAGTATGGTCCAGCAAGTAATGGTCGTGTCGAACGTACTCGAATCCAAGACAGATGTCGAGACCGAGCGCGACAGGATGTTCGATCTGGCGAAAGACGACGATGGATTGATCCGACTAGTGCAAAGGGAGCGACGGGGCAACCCTCTCTCAAAGAGGCGAAGAGGTATACGAAGGGTAGGGCGAAATGAGAGGCAGCACAGCTCAGCGGTGTGCGGGAGTCGAGATGGAAAGCCGTCTAGGTGAGGCTGTTCAGGCACACGGAGGCTGAAGCTGGGGAGAGACAGGTGAGCCTGAGCGAGAGGGAGACGTCCAACCGGCCGCTGAGAGGGTCCGTTCGCGCTCACGGTCGTGCAAGGGCAGCCATCGGGTGGGCTTGGGCATCTCCCAAATGGCCTAAGCGGCGACGGCACGAGCGAGGGTGTGACCATGCACACGAAGAGTGTCAGGGGCAGATGGTGAGACAAACCAATGACGTCCCGCCGCTGTCGTCGTTATTCGCCAGTGCCCCTGGCCTTAACCAAGAGTATTTAGCGTTTATTTTAGCCAAGAGACATGCTTGCAGCGAGGAAACAGCCCCAGTGTCGGAACATGTCCCTGGGTTTCTGTGCAACCGCAGCACCAGCAGAATCTGCACCGTGAGGATGTTGAGAGCTGCGGGGTCAACGGCGAACAGTACCCGGCGCCATCGAACGCTGCATTATTGCAATCGAATACATGATGGCATCACTTCGCCCCGACTTTCGCTGCTGCGGTGCCGATCTTGTCGCTCGTTGTGCATCCCACGCTCTTTGCGCATGAAACTCCCAGGCTCGACACAGCAAGGGTTCTGATCATTTCCGCTCCTTCGACCACTTCACGAATCAAGACAGACCGCTCCTCTCCTGGCCTCTTTCTGCTCGCCTGTCGCACGCCATTCCACGATCGGATGATATGCTCCGGAGTAGAAAGACTTAAAAGAAGGTTCCGAGGACTCGACCTCAGTGCTCGCACTCTCGTATGCCTAAAAACGTGTGCAGCCGTATATGCATGCACGTAAAGTAGTACCTATCGATAGTGCGCGTCCGGGCGACGTCCCCGGAAGCTATGGCGAACAGTTTGGCGGCGCTGGGCAGACTGTGCACTTTGTGCACTCTCCTAGCCTGTTGTGGGGTTTAGGCACGACAACACGCCGTTTGCTGCTATCGCCCATCGTCGTCACATTTGCATCACATCCAAGTGACGACGATTCGAGATTACTGACTGTGATGGCATGATGGCAATAAAAAGAATGGGAGGCGCGCGCTCAAGTGGGCGGCTTCGTGACGGGAGGGACACGAGAGACGCTCTAGCGGGCACCTGAAACAGAAACACGGCCCTTCTCAAGGCGTGCCTACCCTGACTCAGCCCACAACACACCAGCTGCTAACCACGCGCCTCACGACGTAAGCGCAACACGATGGCCTCGACATCACGATCTATAGTTGTCTATGAGATCACTAGCGACCACGGAGCCTTTTCGTCGTTGCTAAAAACGCCCTGCATGCAGCCAACCTTAACCGTGACCGCATTGGTGGCACAGTGCACATCCTCATTAACCATTCGGATGCCTACCCCGCCAACTGCACTAGATTGGGACAGCAATATCCGGCTACGTACTAGGCACGCATAGGATGCAGTTGGCCGTCATCAATGTCATGCGAGCTGGAAACGACGTTCCTTCAGCGGACTCATGAACTATCGGCAAAACAACTCTCTGGCAGCTACCGACACACAAGGCGATCCCGGTCCCCAACTGTCACGCAATTCGAGACGGATCTTCTCGGATCTTCAATCTTGCTTTGCCACGTTGCTAAGCCCCGAGACAAGTTGTCCAGACTATTTGGTGGTGAGCCCATCCCAAGGTTTTGGGCTTGGAGAGACTTTACGGCTCGGAGCGTTTGAAGAAGACGGCTGGTCCCTACCCACATGTTCGCTATGCGAAACAATGCCTCCGCTGGCAACTCGCGACTCTCTGTTTCGCAGTGGTATGCCTGCTAATTAAGTCTTTGCCACGCAACTAAGCCAGCATGTTTCTTCATGCGCCCTTGGGTCTGGGGAAGCACGTGGCTGAGCATTGAAGCCCTCTATCCAGTGTCATGCGTGCGCAATGCCCATGCATTGGAGATTGGATCCAGCGGCATGTGAGCGGCACTTGCAGCTGTCACAACCATCATGTCGGGCCATACAAAAAAGCATCGAGACGTTGTTACCCGAGGAGGGAAGAAGCAAAGGAGCGGACCGCAGCGTTCGATCTATACTCGGATGCGTTTCATTGCTAAGTGACGGTTGCTTTTTCTATATGAACTGTCGCGGGAAACCGGCATCGCCGCCACATCTCGTTTTCTCCCAACGGGTGTCATTACACACTGTCGCATGTATGCCAGGCATTCACCATATCTCGATGGCGAAGTGGTCTCGTCATCTATCGGTAATCACGACCACTGTCTATGCGGAACCGATCAATCATGCACGCGATCAAAGTGCCGTATTACCACTTTACGCCCACGGCACTTACACGCATCTGACGCCCTGCTATTTGGAGACGCCGCGCTTACACTGTACATGTACTTGCGCCTGAAACATCTTTGCTATTCATATGAGTGAGATATAAGATCGACGTTATGTCAGATTCGTGAGGCGTGAGATTCGCGCACCGTACCGCAGCGGAGGCTGATGTCACATGACGCCTGATCTACATTTATCTATACTGATAGCAAGGATGATGCAAAAAGCAGACCTCGGAAGGGTCTTGAATAGCGAGGTAGAACATGTTCGGTGTGCGTTGCGTATAAGAACAAAACACTTCCAATAGTGTTCGTGTCCGGATATAGAACACGAGATGAAGCATCAACATATCCAGCTCAGGAACATCACTATCGATACGAACATACCGAGGTCAGTCGTATCGTGTATACAGTCTTCGTATCCAATCACGGGATGCCATAAACAACCATTGCACATATGTTAAGTGATCTGCCTGTCTCGATGATGGGTTTATCGTGTTTGTCATAGTAGCTCAATTGCCTACAAGCGCAGTTCACGAGAAAAATCACCAACCAGCTACACCACGAGAACACGACCCACCGAACAAGAATAACAAATCCATCTCCCGCCTAAAACATGCTCTACCTTCTATAATTCACCCGCCGCCTACCCGAGCGACGGGTCCACTATCTGCATCTAGCCCTCAGCCCCCATTAGCACGAGATCTGGCACCTTCAAAGCGACATCCGATTTGCCAGCACCTCTTACAGTAGTACACAAACCCAAACATAGAGTCCCGTAGTATCTTATCGATTAGTTATCGTTGGCGTTGGGCAGCTTTTGCTTCCATGTGCAGTAGGTACACCACAGTTGTGGCGATGTGCAGTAGCCGAAACAGCAGTTTACTTGTACGAGCAAAATGTGACAAACGCCACCGTGTGTTTTACGGAACGCTAAGCGTGTAGGTCGATGCATGAAGGAACCAGTGGAGATGCCACGGTGGAGATAAAATGTGTTGAGCTCTGCAAAGAAGATGCGATAGAGGTGTGGGTACTGCGGAGTCGAGGCAGATAAATTGTATTGCTACTTAACGACTTCTACCGGGTCACTATGGAACGAATTGGTAAGTGTGATGCGAGAATTGATGAACTCCGAGAACCAGGGATGGGGATCTCTAAGATGCTAAGCCCGTAGTCGTAGCTACACAGGAGATCATGAGAGGTCTGAATGTGTGCAATTGAGCGGTACGCTGCACTGGTCAAACATGGCTGTGGTTTCATTCAAAGTTTACAGTTGACACTGTAGTCATACTGACATACACAAGCTATGTGTATAGTTGAAGGAATGTGTCTCAGCGTCAAACCATCTCCGTCATGGGGAAATCTCAAAGATGGTCTGCATGCGAGCAACGACTGCTGTCGTCTGGCGTTCTTCTCCGCTAGTCGTATAACTCACGTCAACCATCAGGTTCGGTTGGGGAGTAGATATACTAGCGTTCGTGTCAAACTTCACGTAGAGTGTCACTGCGACGGCTGGAGTAACAAATCTCATTCGTTGCCAAACTCCATTCCATCGTGGTATCATTTCGAACAGAAAACTTCGACGGGGCCGCATGATGGCAAGTCCATTGTTCGAGCTAGAAGCCGGTATAACGCCCTGCTTTTCCATGCGCGTGTCGCATGCCCAAACCGTGAACCCATGATATGCATTTCATCCTCTAGGGACGGGGATGCTCGTGTCGATGTCCCTCATAGCCATAGTGTATCGTCAATAGAAAGGGACGATACGCTTATTGCTGCTCCCTCTGCTTCTTCTTCTCCTCGCGACCGGCGGACTTGCGCTCCAGGATTTGCTCACGGTCCTTGTCGAGCTTGAGCTTGGTGACGACGACCTTGGAGGCAGCGATGGGGATGGGGACGGACTGGCCGTTGCTCTTCTCGCGAACAACTGTGTTGTGAATTAGTATATCTGCTGGCGAGTGGGAATAGAGGGCTACGCACTGCCGTTGACGTGGAGGCAGTACTTGAGGCGGTAGACGGAGGAGATCTTGCCCTCACGTCCCTTGTTGGAGCCGCGGACGACCATGACCTCGTCCTAGGAAAAGTCAGCATACGACGAAACTGGGGGAGAAGATCTGGATACTTACATCCTTGCGGACGGGAATGCTGCGCACTCCGTGCTTCTCGCGGAGCTCCTTACTCAAAGGCGCCTGAAGGTTGTTAGAACATGTCCCATGCAATGTTCCAAGTCTCTTCATACGCTCATGATGACCCGACGCACACTACTCGGCGCACTGAAGTGCGCCTTTCGGGACTTGCGTCGAGAGCTCGCGACCATTGCGTTAACCTTGGTCATTTTTGCTGTGGGATTGGCGGTTGTCGGGTTAGTAGACAAAGTTCGTGTCGCGATCACAAAATTGGTGTTGTGAGATGTGCCTCTGCTAGGGCGGCTTCGCTTCGCTAGCGCGGTCGGAGGGTGGGTTTCTCCGCGCCGAACAGTCCGGCGCTGCAAGTCGCGTCTGCATCATAGAGCGCATCGCCGAGCCGTCGCGCACTTTCAACACGCGTCGCAGCCAGTCTGCTCTCTCGACCAGCGCATACCTTGCGCCAAGGTGCAGCCCCGATACGGACGATTCCCGAGTGCGGTATTAATATTGCATCTACACACACCCGAACCCCCGCTCACGCCTACCCGAGCCCCTTCACGCGAACCACGGTCCACATGCAGCGACCGAATCTTCCCTATATAGTGGCTTCGCAAGGGCTTGCAGACTTTTAGGAATACGTTGCTATGTCGTCAAACAACTACAACCCTTATAGCTACCCGTATCAACAAAGTTCGGCGCAACAGTATTCGGCATACCAGACTGCACCCGCTGCGAACAGCGCCGCGCAACCATCCCGCCAGTATCAGCAGCCGCCGACGACACAAGCGCAAGACTACGTCTCCTACCAGCCGCAATCGTACGCGAACCAAAACAGTGGATATGGAACGGTGCAAGATAACTCATGGAGTAGCAACAACTATGGCGGGACACGAGAGACAACCAGAGGCGCTGCCGAGGTTTTGCGGAATATGAGCAGCTCGACATCGTATACGAATAATCCCGCGCCGACGAATACCCAAGCGGGCTTCACCGCAACGAATACGGCCGCCTCTTCGCACTCCGGTCGCTACGCCGCCGGCAATTCGCATTCGCCCCAAGTACAGGCGCAACAACCCCACGCAGGCTACGGACAAGCGCAAGCGCGTCCACGGAGCGTCAACAACAATCGCGCGCAGCCAGCGAGTCGAGGCTTGCCATCACCGGCGGTGACGGCAGGGTACCCTTCCCAGACTCAGAGAACCCAAGCGATATACACCCAGCAGCAACAGCGCTCCGCCAGTCCAGCCCAGCCTCAGTACAACAATGCGCCTGTTAGCAACTCACGCAGCGCAAGTATGTCCACTACGGCGAACCAGCAGTATGGCGATTACAATGCTCGACAGCTCCCTAGCGTTGCTGCTGAAGCCTCGCGTAACTCTCAGAACGCCACATCGTCAACGGCCTACAACTACGGCAACGCGCAAATGCCTTCTGCGATCGTGCCGCCACCACCGGCACCGGCCACCAGTATGGCGGACACATACAGTGCGCAGGGCACCACCACTGTAGACCCCATGGCAGTTTACGATCCATGGCCAGAATATCAGCGAAAGCAGGCGGCGCAGCAGGCGATTCTAGATGCAGCGCGCGCAGAAGAAGAGAGGATAGCCGAGGAGACGCGCAAATTAGAGGAGCAAAAGAGGGAAGAGGAACGCAAACAACAAGAGGAAGAGGAGGCTAGGTTGCGCGCGTCACAACCCAAGCCAAGAGCGAAGAAGGCGCAAAAACAGCAAGCGAATGCGACGGAAGCAGCTTCTGCAGCATCTAGTGCCGACGGCCCTGCTGAAGCACTAGAGAGCGAGATCCGAGCCATGATGGCTAAGATGAGAGAGCTAAACAGCAAAGACCCGGCACTCCTAGCTCGAATCTGGGAAGAAGAACGCAGAGCGAAAGCGCCCAAGTCTCCGACTGCGCAGAACAAACCCGCTCCTCAGTCTGCCACCCCGCAACCCGCACAGGCTGCTCAAAACGTCACTCCCCAAGCGACGAACTCGAAGAAGAAGGCGGCACCCAAACCAGCAGCGAAGCCAGCTACGCCTGCCGTACCCCAAGCTGTTCCCGTCAGACAAGCACAGCCGACCCCTACTCGACCCACAGGTAACACTCACTGGCCACCCGAGAAGAAGGCACATTTGGCGAGCGCAGCAGCAGCATATCTCAACGCCCAAAATGACGTTCGCAAAGTTGAACCCAGCCAGATATTGGGCCTACTCAACAGCAACCCTTCCTACATCGAGTTGTGCGAACAACTGGAGCAAATGGGCCTGAAGCTAGATCGCGCCGTGTTCGCTAAGAGCCTACTCACAGCAGTACCAGACGTGAATTCTGCATCTCGCAAGGCAGTGCAGGCGGCGCCAGTTCCAGTTCAAAAACCGCCAGTGCCGCCTGCCGTCATGAGAAAGGAAGTCGCGACCCCCGTTGCGCCGACCCCTCAATACACACCAGCAACTGCCTCACCAGCGAACGGAAGCTCTTACCCGTCATTCCCAGGGAGCGCGTCGCCCGCACCTGCACCTGCGCCTGCACCCGTCGCCGAGATGGTGCCAATCAAGCCCGAGCTGAGAAAGCCAGCAAACAAGGAAGAGGCTGCTCGCAAACGCAATCTGAGCGATCTCATCGATTTGTCTCAACTTTCAGAAGAGGAAGACATGGGTCCGCCGCGCAAGAGAATGAATGCAGACCCTTACGCATCATACTCGCATCAAGATGCCATGGCCGTCGATGAAGAGCCTTCCACCCCGAACTTCCCCATTGCAAACACTCCTTCATATCAGCCACAAGCATCTGCGCCGCCGCCAGTTCATCCGCCGCCTAACGAACTCCGGTACCAGGTCTATGTTGAACCACTTGAGAAGAAGAATGCTCTCCGTCGAAACACATACAACCCTGCCACGATCGCAAGGGATGTACTCCTCGCTTGTGGACGCCATCCGTCTGAGCGCAATCTGAACCAACATCTAGATGGGCTGAGGACCACATTACCACAGATAACCTGGGAATCGGATCTTAGTACAATCAGGTGGAACTTGATTGATCCAGGACGACCTCCTCCAGGGTATTTCAAAGACGGCGTTCAAGCCTTGACTGAGGATGCAGACGATGAGGAAGACGATTCCGACGACGATGAAGCGCGTCGTGTCCGCGCTCCGCCCAGTGCGATTGGTGAAGGTGGGGCTCAGAAGGTCCAAGCTCTACCCGAAGCCATCAATCCGTTTAAGCAGAAGCGCCGCGGTCGCCCTCCTCGACACTCCCTCCCCAACGGTGCGGGTCCAGGTCCAGCGACACCCAAACGTCCGAGCAACCCCGTTTCTATGAGCCAAAGTGCCCCACGCCCTACTTCCGGTGCTGCTGGTGTTGGATATCAAGCATTCCGCTCCGCTACGGAGTATGGGCCTGATGGCAAGCCACTGCCGAAGAAGAAGGGCCGCCCAATTGGGTGGAGGAAGGCAATCCATGGATCTCCGGCTGCGCAGTCTCGTCCGGCTCTGAACGGTCACACAGGTCCTCTCAAGCACCAGCCGCCGCAACCAAGCTCATTGCGCAACGAGCCCATCCGTATCAGTTCCCGGTCGCCGAGTGTTGCAAACCATATCCCGCAGTACCGATCGTATAAGTGCAAGTGGCAGAACTGTCAGGCGGATCTGCACAATCTAGAGACACTTCAAAAGCATATATACAAGGTGCATCGCAAGGAGACTCTGGAATGCTTGTGGGATGATTGCGGAAAAGAAGTCACCAACTACGACCCTATGACGAATATGAGCATCGAGCGTCATCAGCCTCATTCCTTCGATCTAGAGAGCAACTGGCGCAATCACATACACGAAGCCCATATCAGTCCTCTGTCATGGCAGCTTGGTGATGGGCCGACTGGGGGTCTCTCTGGTAAGGAAGATAATTGATGGGCTTAGATTGTCGTTGAACACTTGGAGAGAAATGATCTAACGCTCTCATTCATAGACTCGCATGATTCTGAGGCATATCTCAGCGATGCGCAGGGACGTCAAGTCACACCACGTATCACAGTCGAGCCCGAGCGAATAGAAGCACTGAGCATGTCACCACAGGCACCTGTTGGCCAAGGTCGCGGTCGCGGACGTCCGCCCAAGCGTTCAGCGGAAGAAGAAGCCCGCGATGCGCATGAAAGACTTGTGTCGCTCAAGAAGCGCATTGGTGGACCCGGTATGGATCGTGGAGGCGTAACGCTTGCCAACGAGAAGCGTCGAAGGGGTTTCATCGAAGGCGACGAGGAAGAGGAGGAGCTGGTAGATGCCGAGGATTGAGGACTGTGAATAACTTCAGATTTGATAGTTTTGTATAAGTACGCGTATACCCATAGCGAGGACAAGGCGCATTGGGAGTCTTTATGGGTGCGCAGTAGAAGGAAACCGAAGCATGTCTCCATGCGTAAGCCATAGCCTATTGAACTATGTTAAATCCATCAGCGGCCAAACCGCTATATTGATACGCCAGAACTCCATGCCCCCATTTGATAAAAGTCACCGACCTGCAAGTGGTATCCTTTGTCCTCCCTCCAGCCTCTTTCCTTGTTGTGACCCTCTCCCACGTATGCACCGCGCAACTCATGCCTTGACCTTGCCTGACGCGGCCTTGGGCTTCTCCTCAACTTTGTGATCGTCGGAATTGACCTCGAGGAAATGGTATAGGACGATGAGCAGCATGGCAGCGCTTCCGAGGAAGATGGCGAGCGAGTAGAGTTGGCTGTCGGTAATCATCTTGGGTGCGACCGCGCGTCAAGTGTAGCTGGGTGACAGGTGTAAGGCGTCAAGGGCGCTGCGGAGTTGTTAGTAAACACAATGGACGAGACGAAGATGCCAAGAGCTTACGGAAGCTAGATGCGACAGAACAATTCGAGAGCCGGGAATGTCGCGACAGTATTGGATGCGCAGCGATTGACTCTTGGGGTTCATGTGAAGGCCACCTTGAAGCTTCGGGAATGTCGGCGAAGGTAGGGCTGGCTCTAGCGCCAGATGCTCCGCCACTCGAAATTCCACCCCACACAGCGTCATTCTCACTTTGACACACACGACCCAGGTCCCATATCCCCCGCCAGGCACCGAATTTTCGACTCTCCAGGGCGTCCGGATCCTTGGAATATCCCAATCCGCCCACCCCACTGTCACTTCAACGCCCGTACACAATAAGCCAAGATGCCACCCAAAGGCAAGGGCGAGCAGCCCAAGGTGAAGAAGGTCGCCGTAGACAAGACCTTTGGTATGAAAAATAAGAAGGGAGGAGCCGCCCAGAAGCAGATTGCGCAACTCAAAGCCACCACCGCATCAGGTGGCACACCCGACGAAAAGCGCAAGGCCGCTGAGAAAGCCCAACGCGAGAAAGACAAGGCGGCGGCAGAACAAGCCCGCAAAGAGACCGCTGAGCTCTTCAAACCAGTGCAGGTCCAGAAAGTACCTTTTGGTACCGACCCTAAGACCGTACTATGCCAGTTCTACAAGAAGGGAAACTGCGAAAAGGGCAAGAAGTGCAAGTTCAGCCATGACCTGGCCATCGAGCGCAAAACAGAGAAGAGGAGTTTATACACCGATAACAGAGACCAAGAAAAGGAAGAGGAAGAGGAGCGACGGAAGAAGGATAACATGGACGATTGGGACGAGGAAAAGCTGCGACAGGTCGTTCTCAGCAAGCACGGCAACCCAAAGACCACAACAGACAAAGTGTGCAAGTACTTTGTTCAGGCTATCGAGGATCAGAAGTATGGTTGGTTCTGGACATGCCCGAACGGAGGTGAGTTTCGACAACGAAATGCATGTGAGGCGCGCGCTGACCTGTATCTAAGGCGACAAGTGCATGTACAAGCACTCTCTACCACCTGGGTACGTATTCTCAATTCATTATCGCCATACAGAATGAGCACATCTGGGAATCGAAACTAACATGTCCTTCAGATTCGTTATCAAGACTAGGGAACAACGCGCCGCCGAAAAGGCCCTAATGGCCAACTCACCACTCAACACCCTCACCCTCGAAGACTTCCTTGAATCTGAACGACACAAGCTTACCGGCAAGCTCACACCTGTCACGCCTGAAACATTTGCCAAGTGGAAGAAGGAGCGTATCGACAAGAAGCAGGCTGAGGAGGAGGCCAAGAAGATGAAGGATGCCACTGGTAGGGCTATGTTCGAGAAGGGTGACTGGGCACAAGACAGCGATGCGGATAGTGATGATGAGGGTGGCGATGAGTGGAACTTGGAGACCATGAGGAAGGAAACCGAGGCAGCGAGAGCGCGAAAGGAAGAGGAGCGAATGGCAGTCGCACTCGGCAACATGACAGTATCTTGAGGATATCCATCTACTTTGGATCGAACACCACAGGGGGAGATGAAGCGGGAAAACCTCGCCGGTTGCCACACAATGCTGCAAAAGCTTGCGGGGCATTACCGGGACCTGGCTTCGATGGAAGTATGTGGAGGCGACAGATTGACTTGATGCAGTCTTTTTTGCATCATCAGCATGTTTGGCCGTGTCTGGGCTTCAGCGTTCATGCGGCATGTCCCGAACATTATACGCAAAGCTTAGTCGGCTTTGTGTGAACGGCGCTGGCGTCTGGGTTCTGGTATATATTATTGGTATCATACATGATTGTACGAATACAGAAGTACATTCACCGGGGCAAGTTGCTCTACGGACTCGCATTATTGTGGTACTTAATGGGTGCGTCTGATTGAAAGTGAGATGAATGTCAACGAGGTCAAGCGTGAATGCCGATGTCGAAACAAGCTGGCGTAAGATGCCTTGGGTCGCAAAGATTATGATGATCTACATGATGTGAGCTTTCTTACACCCAGAACGTTTCGTCAATCACGATACATATCACCACGGCCAATTTCAACATCTGCACGGTACATTTCAGGATCAAGACGGAGGATTTCGAGACCGTCACGGCGAAATTTAGATCGTGTTCATTCACTAGCAGCAATGCTCCTATTGAAGCTATGACATTCTGCGGCAACACCCTCGATGCAAACTCCACGGGAAGCATACTCGGTACTCGCAAGCGTAGTCTTACTTACACGTGCAGCCTTATCATCATCTCAACGACAAGCTTCGGCCCTATTACCACCCCTCTCATTGGCAGTACACACACCCTCGTACGAAGTCAAAAACAAAAAAGAATACTACTCACACACCGAACACCAAGGGAAGAAGAAGCGGTAAATGTAAGCGGCCGAAACACTCCACTTCACGATACTCCATACCATGCTCGCCTGCCTTGCCCAGATCGCGGCTGCGCGTCACCTAACCTGCATCCAACCACACTAGCCCTCCAAAAGGCAAAGTGTGAGATGTGTCTTGGCACTCAAAATGCCGCGCATCAGTTCCGCCAACGCCTAGTCAGACTCCCCGCAACATGACGGCATGCCCATTCGGCGGACGCGGCGACCCACGTACCCAGGTCCCCAGGCCCTGGTTCCCTCTCTTGCGCATCCGAAGTCGTGTGCCGGCGCGCACTACGCACTCCCGAGTTGTCTTGCCATGACGAAGACGCGGCCGAGGCTAGCCTTGGTCCGTGGTTTGATGGCGTCGTTTACTGATTCTTAAAGAGCAGGTGCCGGTCACTGGGATCGTCGGTTACTGTTCGAGTTAATATACTTTATACCCTTTTTACATCCTTTACGCCTCTTTCTTTACGCCTTGTCGCCTGCATTGAGCATTTCGGTGTAGCTGAGAGCGAAGAGATTACTTGACTTGATCATTGAGTGTGGGGCATCATCCGTATTCCCGGATCGTTCCCGTTGCGTTTGTATCTGCCCGAGAGCCTCTTCTTTGGATCTTATTTGAAAGAATAGCAATGGCGGTGGAAAACTACGATATCGTTATCGTGGGCGCAGGACCCGTTGGTCTCTGTCTGTCAACATGTCTCGCGAGATGGGGATACAAGATCAAGCACATTGACAATCGACCGGAGCCGACCGCCACTGGACGCGCAGACGGAATCCAGCCGCGTTCCCTCGATCTCCTACGCAATATGGGTCTCAAGCGAAAGATTATGGAATACGAGCCTGCAAAGGTTTATGAGGTGGCTTTTTGGGATCCGGCGCAAAAGGGTATCCACAGGACGGGGACTTGGGCTAGTTGTCCAAAGTTCATCGATGCGCGGTATCCGTTTACTACCCTTCTTCACCAGGGTATGATCGAGAGGACGTTTATTGGGGATATTGAGAAGAATGGTGGTCAGATCCAAAGACCCTGGACGATTAAGGGCTTCAAGAACGATGGCAAGGATCAGACTTATCCTGTTGAGGTCAACCTGGCGCATGTCGATGGCACCCACGAAGAGACTGTACGCGCAAAGTACTTGTTTAGCGGAGAGGGAGCGAGAAGTTTTGTCCGGGATCAGCTGGGTGTCAAGATGATCTATAAGGATCCTATTGCGCATGTTTGGGGTGTCATGGATGGTGTTGTCAGGACGAACTTCCCTGACATCAAGGTACGTGGTTTCCAATGTTCTTTGCTCTCTTCGATATTAACAGCAATGTAGATGAAATGCACAATCCACTCCGACAACGGCTCCATTATGATCATCCCACGCGAGAACAACATGGTCCGCTTGTACATCCAAGTCGCATCTTCCACGGACAAAGACTGGGACCCGCGGAAATCCGCCACTGCGGAGGATGTTCAGGCGCGTGCCAAAAAGATCTTCGAACCGTACACCATCTCTTGGGATCGTGTGGAATGGTACTCAGTCTACCCTATCGGCCAGGGTATCGCGGAACGCTACACACTTGACGAGCGCGTCTTCATGGGTGGCGACGCATGCCACACACATAGCCCCAAGGCTGGGCAGGGCATGAACACAGCGTTTTTGGACGCAGTAAACATCGCTTGGAAGATCCATCATGTGGAGAGCGGCTGGGCACCCCGATCCCTCCTCTCAACATATGAGTCCGAACGTAAACTCATCGCCGAAACGCTCCTCGACTTCGACGCCCGCTACGCAAAGCTCTTCTCCGCACGGATACCATCAGCCGGCGAAGTCGCCGGCGCATCCGCAAAAGAAGCCCCGGAAGACAACGAATTCATCAAGACATTCAAAGCCAGCTGCGAGTTCACCAGCGGATACGGCGTAGCCTACAAACCCAACATGATAAACTGGGGCCCCGAACACTCCGCCCAGCACCCCCTCATTCTCTCCTACCAAAACGGCACAAGCCAACGGACAGGAAGAATCATGACCCCTGCAACCGTCACACGAGTCGTAGACGCCAACGTCGTACATCTCGAACAAGAAATCCCTATGAACGGCTCCTACCGCATGTTCATCTTTGGCGGTAGCTTGGATAAGAGCGCAACAGCACTTAGAGATCTGGCGACGCAGATGTCATCTCCTACATCGTTCTTTAGCACGTCCCTCCACCGCGATATCAAGGAGAAAGACCGATACCACGAACGCCACAACCCCCACACCGATTTCCTTTCTCTTGCACTCGTTTTCTCAGCACCGCGCTCAAGTATTCACATCGATGAGCAACTACCTCAGCCTTTCAGCCGCTACGCCGATCACGTTTATGCCGATGATGTCTGGGACCAAAGGGTGCCTGATGCAAAGGCTGCGGCGCATGCTAAGATGGGTCTTGATGAGGAGACAGGTGGTGTTGTCGTTGTACGGCCGGACGGCTACGTTGGTATCGTTGTTAAGCTGGCTGAAGGAAAGGGCACATGTGAAGCGTTGGATGCGTGGTTCTCGGGGGTTACAGGGAAGAAGCTTGGGGGTGAGAGGGCGAGTTTGTAGATGAGTGGGATTTGCATAGCGTTTCAAATTCAAACAAGTTCGAAATTACTCAGAATCAAACATGCGAATACACATTTGGCGTAACACTGAGGTTTATTGCGACGATGGACTTCCATGTGCAGGGAAACGATGACGTCATCATACATGGTCGTGCCGCTT